TTAAGTAGATACTCCATCACGAGCCACACTCCATACCAGTAAGTGGCGGTAATGCTACTAAATGTTTGTTGTCAACCGCTAATAAATCCAAGAAGAAGAAGAAAACGAAGACGAAGAAAAAGAAAACTCTTTCCTCCTTCTCGTCACGTGTCCAACATGGCGGTCTCCATGCCAAGAATCCGCGGCTGTGTTTCGCGGCATGCGTCCTGTAGCCTACTCAAACAAACCCGTATTTTCCTCGCACTGAGGTCTAAAATCCACTGCTCCGCTCCCGCACCCAGCGGACTGCTCTTCTCTCTACACAAACGCGGCATTTTGAAGGACTCTTTCCCCGAAGGCGCAGCTCAAGACCAGCTCCCCCGGCTGCTCCAGTCCGCTCCTCAGACTGTGTACTGCGGCTTCGACCCTACGACTGACAGCCTTCACGTGGGGAACCTGCTCGCCATCATCGGTTTGCTGCACTTCCGGAGCGCCGGGCACCATGTCCTCGCGCTGCTCGGAGGTGCCACGGCTCAAATCGGGGACCCGAGCGGGAAAACGAGCGAGCGGGACCGGCTGTCAGCGGACGTGGTGGAGGAGAACGCTCGCGGCATACGGGAGAGCATCCAGAGGATTTTCACTAACCACGAGTTGCTGTTCCACGACAGCTCCAGGCCGCTGGGCACAGTGGACGTGCTGAACAACCGGAGCTGGTATAAGAGCTGGGGGGTCGTGGACTTTCTGTCGGAGACCGGTAGACACTTCAGGATGGGGACGATGCTCAGCCGCCACAGCGTGCAATCCAGGCTGAAGAGCCCAGACGGTATGAGCCTGACAGAGTTCACCTACCAGGTGTTCCAAGCTTATGACTTCTACCACCTCAACCAGATATACGGCTGCAGGATTCAGCTTGGAGGCACCGACCAGCTGGGCAATTTGATGTCCGGCCATGAATTCATTCACAAGTAAATGTCCATTCAGCTGCAATGCATAATAGAAATCAGGTTAACGGAATGGTCGAAAATCCAGGACCAGAGCTAGATGGGGGGCCAGGGGTGGCTGTCACTACCCGATCCGTTCCAGAAGCGCTATTCGGTAATTTGCGCATCCAGATATACATCCGGGTCGTCCTCGATTTTATTTTGTTAAAAAAATACCTAAATTAAGTTTTCTCTAAACAAAAATAGTAAATGTACTAAAATATAATGCCTCAAAGGTTAATAATGTATTTCCTGAGATGTATTGCCTTAAAATCCTTTGTTTTATCACTCATCTCTGCCCCATCTGCGCCGGAAATGGGATCCTACGCTACTTCCGGTGGCTAACTTTTTTGGATTTAAACATAAATCTAGTCTTTTTAAGTTTTATGTTTTCATTTCGTTTTACACATATGCTATATACCGTAAATCATCTAATATTGCCCTGTATTCCATTAGCAGCCGGGTCTTTAATGGGCTGTCGGCGGAGGTAAATACTGGCAATACTACTTAAACAGGCCGGAGCTATAATTAGAACCAACGATGTTCCTGGGCAGTCCTCAACAACTTGTGATAGTAACATACAAGTACCACAGGGGGGCAATGTTTGCTAACGAATCCAAGCCATTAGCATGGGAAGTCCCAACCTTGCAGCAGACAGGAGGTCGGCTTGTTTTGTTTTTATGACCAAAATTGCGGAAAACAACTCGTGAAGTTGGACCAGCTAGAAGAGCGAGGTGCGTGAGAACGCAGGGACCCTTTTCCACCTGGATCTCCGCTCTTTTTCGCCATCATGTCACTCCGTTGTCGGAATACTCACCCCCACTTCCTCATTGCGTCGGCCGTATCTAGACCCATAGTGTATAGCGCAGGCCACGCTTCAATGTTGAGCATAAATCAAAAATGTCTGCGTCAAGCTCACTGCGACACACTGCTGTGGGAGTATAACCAGCCACACAATCGTTCTGATCTGAAAGACAAATGTGAATACTGGTAGGTCTGGTGGTAACCAGATGTTCTGTATACCGTTATGATAACTACACTTTTTCAATAAATGAACCTAGTATTTTATAGGTTCAAAGAGACACAAAATCTGTCTCTCTGCCTCTAATTCTGGCCTCCTCCAATGATGGCCTGGACCAAGATGTACCTAAGTGAAATAAAGGCCCTGTCCTTAGCCAATCAGTAGCCCCCCCCAATAATTTTTTCATGTTACTTACTATTTTTTCATACTTTCGTACATTACTTGATAACAAAAACACTGTGGTTAATTATGCACATCAATATGCTAACATTAAAGATAAGTAGTAGTAAACAACCCAGTCCTTCTTTCCACTGTAGACAAGCCAGGATCTGCTTATCTGTTCTCTATTTTTCATTTGTATGAAATAATAGCTGCATGAATCATGACAGCAGACAAGATAGAGAGCAGGAGGCGGGGTTACCAATCTACTTGCTCTGGAGAGCAAGTAGATTTTTGACGTTTTTTTCTTTCTTTTTTTATGGCTTAAAGGTACACTATGCAACCCGTGTTGATTTTTCAGCGAGGCTCCCCCCAGAGGGCGAAAGTAAAAGTGCACTGTCGTAAATATGCACAGCTGTTCTCCTGGTTTCTCCGTCAAGCCAGGCGCGGTTGTTTTGAGCTTAGCAGACAGGCGAACGCAACGAATGACTGATGCTGCGTTCACACCGCAGCTGGCGCGACAGAAGCAGCGAGTTTACATGCAACGTAACGTTAAGGCGCAACAAAAGGTCCCGCGGCGCGTTTTGAGCAGCAGGCGCAGCACATTTGAGCAGCTGAAGCAGCGCATCGGGCGCGTTTAAGCATCTGACGCAGGGAGAGAGACACAGCGCTGATGATCACTCCTCTTAAACAGTTTATTGACGCCTAAATTAACTTAAAATGCAGAAATCTGCCGGCAGAATATGCAGTTTGGATTATTTAGATGAAAAACACCTACCAGCTGCCGTGGTGAACCGCGAGGAGGCGACCAGGCCAGAGGCTGCTGATGAAGGGATCCCTACTGTCGGCGCACCGCTGGTATGTGGGGGTCTGAGCGGCTCCGACAGAAAAAATATTGAAGGCAGGATAATAATCTGAATGAACTGACGGCACAGAGAAAGGATAGTGAAGCTCCGCCCAAAGCGCGTCAGACACACTTTTGCACCGCGCAGCCAGAGCAGCAAAGCTGCTTCAGCCGCGCGTCAGAACTAACTGGTACAAACAGCAAAAATGAAGCAGCAGACGCGATTTTGCTGCGTCCGATGTGAACGTAGCATAACTGCACAAAGATCGCCACTGTGCTAGCAACGAGAATGCTTTTAACTGGGGGCGTGTAGCAGTTCTCGCCGTAAAGCAAGACTGACTCTCACGAGACTTCTGAGCCTGTGGGTGCGGGTCGGTAGCCTGGGTGCCATTCCGAACTTAGTCCCGCCCACAAGGTTTGAGGTCGGGAAGTTCGGTCTGGCTCTGCTCCATAGTAGCGCGAGTATTATCGCCCACCCTCTGGCGATCCAATCAAATTGTCAGGGCGGGCTTTATACGATGATGGACAGATGATCAACAGTAACGTAATCAACCACGTGACCAAAGCGCGCTTGGGCGACAACAACAATGGCTGCCGCCGGAGAGTTGAGGTGAGTAGATTCTGCTATTAGGTCTGTTCTAGAAGAAATCGACAGCAAATTAATTTTAAAAGAGGAAAAGAGAAACGCGATCACGGCTCGTCTTCTTATTCTAGGCGCGCAACTGCACGCTTTGATTTTTGTTGACAACAACTATGCCTGGCTTAACATACGTCACGCACTCCGTTGCTCTTATTGGTTGTAGGTCTATCCAATTGAGTGCAGAGGCATTTTTTTTCCTGGTCCGTTCAAAACACGCCCCATAATCACAGCTCTATGGAGCAGTATCAGACTCATATTCTGACTAGAATTGAGTAGGACTACGTCAGGCTAGTGGGTCGGTGCTCCTGCAATTGCAAGTGCGGTATTTCCCCCACAGACCACCAGGGCGGCCGAGAATACCTTTGTTCAACCTGAAATGACTCATTTAATCATCCATAACGTTATGGAACACATTAATTAACTGAAAAATGTTGCATAGTGTGCCTTTAATAAGAGAAGTGGGCTTCACGCTGACCTGCAAGGCTTTAAACCTGGGTTTGATTAACGACAAAGCCATTTTAAAGCAAATATTATGGTGCTCATTTTGAGCCTAGATCTATTGTCGTGGCCAAGCTTTGATGACAGTAAAAAAAGGTCCACAAAGGCCACAGATGCATCATGGACAAGTTATTTACGCAGGCAAAAGAAAAAAATGTTCCAGGTAAACTTCTACAGCTTTCTTAGTTTATTTCTCCTCAGGCAAGCAAACAGAAAAGGACAAACATTTCCTCTATGCTTCTCTTGCACTGGTAAAAAAAAAACATACGCCCACCCAGATGCATGTTGGTCCTGCCATTGATGGCCTATTTATAAAAATAATTCACCCAAATTAATAATAACTAACCAGAAATAAAGGAAAAAAACTAAATAAGCAAAAAACATAATCTCAAAATGGATATCAAACAATAAAGCACAATAAACTTTGCTAGATTCTCCACAAAAACAAAAAGAACTTTGTTAATCATTAACATAAATTAACTGGCTCCTACACTCTATTTTTATTTTTGATAATGTTCATGGTGGAGAATCCTGCTTCACAGCAGTAGGTTGAGCTGAACATACTCAAAATGTGCAGGGTCATGTTTCAGCACACCATATTACTTTTCTTTCACCAGTTCACCGCATTTCTTCCAGCAGTCCACACTTTCTTTTACTTTTTCTCATTGTCTTCTCTAGGGCTGGGTAAAAAAACTCGATTTTGAATCGATTCCTTTACATTTTTGCAGAATCGACGTCTAGGGAATGAGATTGATTAGTTTTATAGTGATGCGCGTGACGTTCACATTCAAATGAGCAGGAAAGATGCACTCAAGATTATTTCAAGCCAGACAGCTGCAAATATAGCCAACAGGTTGACTGAAGACATTAACAAATGGGGGCTGACCAGAAAACACTCTGTAGTTGTTACAGACAGCGATGCAAATATGGTTTGTGCAGTGGAAATAATGCAGCTCATGCATTTCTTCTGTGTTCCCGCTGTATCACGTCTGCGTGCTCGAGTGAGGCTTCACTTTTCACAAACAAGTTTGCACTAATAAGACAGTTTTGTTCACATCTAAAGTTTAAACTTTCTGATTTACAAGTTTGCACTTTGTGTTTAATGTGACAGGAAAAAAATAAAATAAGAGTCCTTTGAAACACAGTTGAACCACTTTCATTATTGTAAAACCAGATCGAATTGAAATTAATCGATTTAGAACTGTGTTAATCAAAATCGAATCGATTCATGACTTTGGCGAAAATACCCAGCCCTAGTCTTCTCCTTCTTTCCCATCGCCCGGCTTGCCACAGGTTTGCCTGCTGTGTCTAAAAGTAGTTCGCTGCAACAACCCAGACTGACAGCAGCTCATTGGCTAATTTGTATCCTGTGTAACCTGGTCCCGGACGCTCCGGAGGTCTTTGCCATGTTAACAAGAGAAGCGGCACAAGTGAAGTTAGACACTGCTTGGACAACTTGCAGGAATTTATAAGTGTTTTAAACCAGGTTGGTCCCGATTAGCCAGAGGGTGGGTCCGGATCTGGACCCTGGTCCACTAATCCATGACCTCTGCTTTATAAAATGGACCCTTGCTTTGGCTTAGAAAAGCTTTTGGTCCACTTTATAAAGCCTGGAACTCAACGCTATTTCTGACGTTTTGAATTGGAAAAAGCTTCCTGGATGGGAAGCGAAACGCCTTCAAACTTGGAGACAAAGTCGCGTGGATTGTTTCTTTCTACTTTTTTGGAATGATTATGACCTGGATGACTGAGAATCTTCACTAGCACACCTGACTTATATGCTGATTTAACTTGCTGCTGTGAAGGTCGTGCAGTCATTGGAATAAAGTGCTGGCATTTCTAAAACAGGTGGGGGGGAAATAGTATCCTCCTCCTCATGCAGGGTTTGACGTTAAGGATTTTTGACTTTCACATTTAATTTGCCCAGAAACAATTTTTACTTGCCCAGTATAATGTTTGATAAATATAGTTCCTAATATTCATTTTTTTGTATATATATCAATGAAACATGTTTTTTTTTTTTTTTATGTTTTTTGTAATTCTGTATTTTTTAAGTTTTCAGGTTCCTGGTGTGTAGATGCATGCGTCAGATAATGAACTCAAGCCTACATTACCGTGTTAACATGCTTTTCAATCCTTCCTGCACATTCTTTTCAAACTAAACTTTGCTTTAAACTGTTGTGTGCTTGGAAAAATATAAATTGTAATGTTAAAAATCTAAAAAAAAAACTTGACAGGTTAAAGACTTGAGATAAATCACAAGACAGAAGTCAATGTCACAAATGAATAACTTTTATTTTAGAGTCACGGGAATGTTTATACAAGATAATACTATTAATATAATGTGACTTTTCTAGAGAATCATTATACAGTTATTTTATACAGGGTTTCCACAGTCTTGCATAATTTCAGAATTCCCTGACTTTTAACTGACTCAGGATTAGTTTTCCCTGACAAAATAAATGCAGCCGTTTTGGTAACTACATCCAAATTACCAGCTAGATTATTATTAGCCTTTTCCAAATCTCGCGAGAATGTGTACAAAACAACAAATGCGGGCAAATGCAATTAAATTTGTACTCTCCCAACAATTAAAAACTACTTGCGAGATTGGGCGATGGTTAACATCGAGCTCTGTCATGATGCCTCCACCTGTGATAGGAGTGTTTAGGTGGACCAGTTAGGTTGTAGCAGAAGTGGGTGATCTATGGAGTCATTCTAGTGTTATTAAATTCAAGAAAAAAGCGATCTCAAAAAGGAAAATAATGATTAAAGTCTAATAAATGTATTGGAGAGAAAATGTTTTTACTCTAATGGCAAAAACTGGTTGCTAGGCAACTTTTTTGTCAGAAATATAATGTGATATTTAATCCAACTGGTTTTGTTGTGTATTTCTGTAGAGTCAGCGGTGAGGAGGTTTATGGCCTGACCATCCCTTTGGTGACGAGCTCTGCCGGTGACAAGCTGGGGAAAACTGCAGGCAACGCGGTGTGGCTCAACAGAGACAAGACGTCGCCCTTTGAGCTCTACCAGTTCTTCCTTCGACAGCCAGATGCTAACGTGGAGGGGTACGTGGAGAGGAACGCTTACCCAACCCGCTTTGTTTACAAGAGTCCAGCTGTACTGTGCCGGGAAGCTGAAATACCGTGTGTGGATATTTTGCAGATACCTGAAGTTGTTCACCTTTTTGCCCCTGGCGGAGGTGGAGAGGCTGATGGAGCAGCAGAGGGAAGATCCAAGCAAACGCCTCGCTCACAAACGACTGGCTGCAGAAGTGACCAAACTGGTTCATGGAAAGGAGGGCCTGGAGAGCGCCAAAAGGTCAGAACTGGTCCGTGTTGATTTGCTTTTTAACTTAAATGTGATAAAGCAAGACATTGCTGCGTACATAGAAAAAAGTATTGCTTCGTATGACCAGATTTATGATCCTTAAAAAGCAGAATTCTGTGTCCCTGCAGATGTACCAATGCATTGTATCACAGCAGCGTGCAGGCTTTGGAAGAATTAAGCGATGATGAGCTTCAGGAACTCTTCAGCGAGGCTCCTTTCCATGAGCTGCTGTTGGAGCCAGGCACCACCGTAATAGATGCCTGCCGCAAGGTCGGCGCCATCCCAGACGGACCCAGAGGGTACGGACCTCAATCCTCGTTTATTTAGACAAACCTCTGCCGCTGGTCATTGGATTGCTGGTATAAGATGTTTGGAGGTAACCTGGCAGTGGCCAGATCGATGGGTTTAGAACTGAGTTGAGTTCTACGTTATTAATATGTAATGGCTGCTGTTCAGTCTGTCTCTGAAAAGAAGGGATGTTTAGTTTAATACTTTGAGCTGATAACCATAATACGCTTTCAGACAACCGTAGCAGTGAATCGTGACGTTTCGTAAGCTGATAAATCAAACTTTTTCCAAATCCCGTTGGAAGGAAAGCCCAGATATCTTTCCCATCTACAAATGCACAGAGTGCTTATCTTTGCTCCTTTTTTAAATGAGAAATTGTCGCTATTTCAGCTAAAATTGAATCAATTGCAGTGTTGACAGGCGAGTCTTCCGGGGAGCCATGTTTGTAAGGCCCCAGCGAGGCCCTTCTGACTGTCATCATTCCTACATGTCCGGCCCCGAAAAAACACGGCTGGAATGTGATTGGTCCGACCCGCTGGTTGTTATGAGATGGACACATTAGCGTTAGTCTTAAAAGATGGATTTGTTGTAAGACTGAAAATTCAGATCTTACAACAATCCAGCTTGTAGCGCAAGGTTAATTGGGAGGATGACTGGACGTAAATTCATGAATGACTTAAAAAAATAAAATGTTAGAGCAGGGATGTGCTGCATCGGGCCAGTAGCATTAAACCCCAAGTCCAGTTAAGGATGTATGACTTATAAGGAGTTTGAGCTGTACCTCCAACAGAATGTGATTCAATGATTTTTCATTTCTATCTGTAATTGCTGTTAATTGTGTTGTTTGTATATAGGGCTGAAACAATCGGATTAATCGGGAATAATCAATATTGAAATAATAGTTTGCTAAGTTAGTAATCAACTGGAGTATAGAGACTCTAAAACATACCTTTAGCTGACAGGGCGACCCGCTTAGATAAAAAAAAAAAACTTTTTGGTCTGTTGATATGCTCTATCCAGAACTCAGGTGGAAAAGTTTTTATTGTTTGATCTGGTTTCATTCTGTAAAAAAGCATCTTTAAGGAACCTTTCGCTATCCGATTATCAATCGAAAAAATTGACAGTTAAGTCAATTAGTTAGCAAAATTAACGTTATTTGCCGCTCTATTTTTAAATACCTATCGATGCATTGCGCGTTAAAAAGAAACTACATTGTTTACATTCCTACTGCTTCTTAGATATTATATGTAACAAGATATTAGACCTAAAATGATTTTTAAAAAGGAAATATGGTTGGTGTTTGATCATGCTGTAAAATATATTGTTTAAATTTTCTATTTGTTTCATAAGCTTTTGTTGTAATGATTCATTCTATCTAAACAAGAGCCCACATGAATCTTTGTGTGTCTAATGCTTTTGTTCAGATATCGGATGATCTCTGATGGAGCTGTATGGATTAACCACAAAAGGGAAGACAAACCGGAGCAGGTTCTGATCCCCAAACTCCATGTCCTGTCTAACGGACTGACCCTGCTAAGAGTGGGCAAGAAAAACTTTTACATCATCAAGTGGCTGAGCCTCTGAGGCTGCCTGATTGACAGGGAAGGTAGGAGGAAAAACTTCACAGGAGTTTTCAGGGAGATAATATTGGACTCATAAATGACTGTGCATTTATTGTTTTTATATGTGTACATGTATAGATGTGGTGTTATCTAAAATCTAAAACACATGTTCATTAAATGGCATATGTAAGAGATCATCTTTTTGTATTGACTTACTGCTGCAGAGGGTGTAGGAAAGTGAACACTAGAGGGCGACATTACCTGCGTCACGGTGGACAGAGAACCTCATGGACACGATTTAATCAACTGCAACGCTTCAGAAAACCAGTAGCTTTAAAGTTGAGCTAAATTTCATATTTTATTCCAAACACTTGTGTTCCTGTTTGAAGAAAATATTTTTCTTTATATTAAAGTATAATGCAAACATTTGTTTTGCTTCAACATTTTTAAATTTATTTTTATGATGGAAAATGTACCCTTACACACACTGTTGGGAGACAACCACCGAATGTTGAGGGGGAAAAGGTTTATGATACAGTTTAAATTCAAAAATAGATTTTCTTTAAATATTACATTTAGGGAAGATTTTTTTTCCCTTGCCCATTTCTTTTTTAAATCGATTTCCTGGCTTTGTTGAAAATATAGAACATTTAAGAAAATGTATATCTATTTGGTTCTGGCAGTTTTTTTCACAAATTATACTTTTATTTTCACTATAATAAATTTATGATAATTATTATAATAAATTTATTTGTATTGTAAAAAACACAATGGTTAATGTACACATGTAGACTTGAAGATAAAAATGAACTGTGTGCTGCCTTTAAAATGTATATGCAGTCATGCAAAAAAAATATCACACCACTCTTTTTTTACTTAAATTCTTGCAAATTTTTATGTCTGTACAATTTTTTTTTTTTTTTTTTTTAAACAACATTTAGAGTGTTATGTACTGTATGTTAGAGTGACTGCAGCATACAGAGAAACAGTGAGGGGGGCTAATTGGATAAACTACTGCTAAGCACTAACATTTAAATTTACAAATTTATTTAATTAACATTAACAAAGATGTTCACTCAGCCATGGAGTCCACATCAATCAAATTAATGTTTTTCTCATATTTTAAAGTTTAGATATGGATTTCAATTTCATAGTTTAGTCTATTTTTGTATAATGTATGTGTATATATATATATATAAGAACCTGTGGGTAGTTTTTTTTTTTTTAAACTGGCTCCATGCCAGATAGTCACATGCTGTTTTATTCAACCTGGGTTATATAATTATAGCAACTTTTATTATAAAAAAAACCCCCCAAAAAACTAAAAACATGAAAAACTAAAGTTGAAATGGATTCCCCACAATAAAGCCCATACAAAGCTGTCAAAACACTTGTACACGTTTTTTTTTTCTATTTAGTTTGATTAAGACCTTCATGTCAAATGATATAACTATTAATATAAACTTATTCACAGAATGATCCAAATATCGCATTTTAAAAAATATGGGCGGGGCCTATGTGGGTAACCAATGAGCGACCCGCTCGGCATTTAAATAGTTGTGTGCGTCAATCACATCGCTGTGGCCCGCCTCCATCTGAGCCCATCCTCCCGTCTGTTCACACTACGCCTTCAATCGCCATATTGGGTTTTGAGAGGTTACTCTGCAGTTTCTCTCAGTGCGGGACGAAAATTGACACAGCGCCTTCGATTCCTGTGCAGTTTGTTTTGATGATTCGCGGGGACTATCTTCGGCGTCAGAACACAGCAGAAGCCATTGGTGCCTCCAGCCTCTCGTACGCATGGCATAAGCGCTCCCACGCCCGTGTCGGATCTTTCCCCCCGTGACGAGGAGATAGCCGCTGTTGTTTTTCTCTCTCCCGTCTTTTCAGCGAGGTGTTTTTTCTTATGAAAACCGGACGCTCCTGGCTGCTAGAAGATTCAGCTTTTTTAGGAGGTAAAATGTCAGACGTTCGACTTTCAAACGGAAGCCCGACGTTGGAGCGGACGGAACCCCGGCTGTCGGAGCACCCGAAGCCGTCAGCCTGCCGGAACCTCTTCGGCTCGGTGGACCACGAAGAGTTAAACAGGGATTTAAAGGGACACATGCGGGAGCTGCAGGACCTTGCGGCAGCGGAGTGGGGCTTCGACTTCGCCCGTGACGTGCCGCTGCCGAACTCCAGGTTCATTTGGGAACGGGTGGACTCCGCGGAGATGCCGGATTTCTACGTGCGGCCGCCGCGGAAGGAGAAAGGCGTCTGCTCTGGGAATACCAAGGTGGATGTTAACGGGAATCATAGCTGTGTTCTGGTGGCTCCTCCGAGCGAAGAAACCAGCCTGTCTGTGGGTCAGACCGAGTGTACAGAGCAGTGCGCGGGGCTGAGGAAGAGACCGTGTCACGGTACTACTTTTTCTGTTTTCAACCCGAATGGCTGCTGTGTTCATGTATACAGTGCTTTGTGTGTTGGGATTTCTCTTTAATATAAATATAGAAATTAAAACCACAAAGAAATAAGCAAACTAAAAGCATATTTTTAATATATTTTTTATTTTTTTTTCCAGACCCCAGCGCGCAAAGTAAGAGGTCACGCAGCAGCCCAGATGAAGTTAGTTGTCCAAGCCTGAGCCACTCTGTTGAACACACACCCAGAAAGTCCAGTCCCAAGAGACAAACGTGAGGACTAACAAAACGGTAAGAAAATAAGCCACGGTGCATATTTCCCCCTTTTTTTAATTACAGATGTCCAACATAATTTAAAAATGCTTAATTTAAAAAAAATGCTCCACTTTGCCAAACTTCATCCCTAAAATACGCAAAAAAATATAATAATTTGGATTAGATTATACAGATGTGAGTGCTTCAGCTGGAGTATTTATGAATAATCAGCTTTACCAAGTTCAGACAAATAAACGTAATGAGTGGAAAGAAAAAAAAAAAAGGAAAACAAAAGTGCAGTACATTATTTTTAGCCCTTTCACTGCAGCTGTTTCGGTACTGCTCAGTTTCCTACTAAACTATAAACAAGTGCTGAACAACAGTGTAGTAGTAACACGTCAGCAGCCACTGCCCTCAGCACAAGGACGGAAAGGGGCAGGTCTCTGAGAGCTGCAAAAAAAAAAAAATAAACTCAACGCCCTACACACTACTACACACACACACAGCTCCCTGTGAGGGAGAGGAGGGATGTAGAGTAGGTCTGAAAATCAAGTGGGTCACAGCAAAGATGGGGGTCAAGGTTGAAAATTCCTTTTTAGTTTCTAGATGAGAAATCTTCAGATTGCAGAGGAGTACAGATGGCATTATACAAGATAAAAGCATATACTTTTGGTAGTAAAATGTATGGAAATTAGTACAGTCCACTGAAACGGCCAATAAGAATTAATGAGAATCATTTTTAATTTTTATTTTCCTTTATAAAACAGTTAATAGAACAGTGTAAAATATGTATATTTAACTGAGTGTGCATGCATGTACTCAGTTTTATTTTTTGCAATTTTTTTTTTTTTACATATATCCAACATACTAAAATATCCTACAAAATAGCAAAAAAATATAGAAAGTGAAGCTGCACCTCAACTAAAGGTTCAAGGAGGAAAAACATAAGGATCCTATGCATGTATAGAAAGTGTTTTAAACAATTTGATGGTGACTTAATATGCTACTTGGCAGAAAAAAACATTTATCCTCAAAATGTGTATTTAATTTTCTTTTTATCTGCTGTACTAACTTGCGACACTTGTTTTTTTTCTCTGCCTTGTTCTGCCCCACAGAAAAGATGCCCCCCTCCCCCTTATTTTTCTTTAAGCATGGGAGACCTCAGTGTTGGCTTTTTTTTTTTTGGTTGTTTCTCCCCCCCCTTTTGGACGAGGATCTACACAGCATCAGAAACATATCAGCTCTCCTGAAGACTGGGGAGGACGCTGTTGAAGCACTGAATAGAAACACTAAAGTTTTTGGCACTCAGTTAAATGTTACTGCCTCTAACAGCAGTCGATGTAGCAGTGTGCAATTAGGTTGACTTCCTTTTTTGCTCCTTTTTTTAAAAATGTTTTTTTTTTTTTACTACCTGTGTGTGTATATAAATTAATAAATGAATATATATTTCTCTCCATATGTAGCACATAAGAAACATTATGATTTAAAAATAAATCCTTTATGTTAAAAGTGTGAATTTTGATTTGACTTGAAGAATTGCAGTGTAGTTTGAAACTTTTTTTATTTTTTATGTTTTGTTAGCCTAAAAAGCAGCCGAAGTTGACACGGTCCCCAATTGCTACACTTAAAAAAAATGTAATAATAATTATGGCTCTTTTCAAAATCTAACATTGTGTCTTCACTCCATTTTCCTAACTCGGCATTGAAGAATGGTACAAATGTAGCTCTTTTATTTAGTTTATGGTCATTGCATTGTCACCATATGAGTTATTTAGAGAGCCTGACCCACAGGATGAAATTTATATTTATCAATCAGGTTATTCTAATTCTTTTTTTTAATGCTTTTAGCACCAGTTTGGGTCTTTTTTCCTCCTCTCCTTGTTCTGCACTCCTCTTTTGCTTTTAGGGCTTTGCAGACTTCACACTCTGTTCTCATTGACTGTACCGTGATGTGCCTTACTGCTATATAGACGTGAGGGTTTTTTTTTTTTTCAAAGCGGTTATATCTTCTACAATACCAAATACATGGTTGCTTTTATGTAGATGACTTCACATTGTATTTCTTTGTGATTAATGTAGGCGCTTTTTTTGCCCCCTCCCTCCCATACTTTAAAACCTGCTGAGGATGCAAAATGTGAGAATCTCAAAGCTTCTCCTGTATTTGCCAAACGTTTGGTTTATATTCTGAGACGAAGAAAGGCTCGTCCAACAGATGCAGTCACCATGCCTGTGTAATTGTGTAGAATCTTTGTAATGTACCTGTGTACATATTTTGTAAAAAAAAATAAAACAAACAAAAAAAAGCAAAAAACACTGAGAAATTATACTAACTTATTTATGTTGAGCTTTTTTTATGTAGAGTTAAAAAAAATGGGTTTTGATTACGGTTATCCAAAGTGGCATTTACGTTACTATAATTTTTATTTTATAAAAGCATATTTTATTTGGTAGATTTTTTCCCCCTCCCCCCTATAAGGTTGCAGACTGAGCCTGATGTGAGTTGTGCATTTTTTTTTTTTTTTTTGTAATGTGTGGATTAAAAAAAATGTTGCAATCAATAAAAGAGAAGATTAAAGTATAATTTGTTGCTTGTGTTTTTTTTTTTACACTGGGTGTGTTTAAAAAAGAAAATACAATACTTAACAGCATCACTGAAAATGAATAGAAATTAAATCCAAAAATGATAACATGGAATAAATATCTCTTTACTCTCTAAAGAGTTTTCTTTAGTATTTGGGGTGTTTGAAACAGCTGGGAGAGCAATCATCAAGGTCAAGTTAGATGATTGGCGCTCAGCTCATCCAATGAGGGAGATTTGGGGGTGCAGACTACTGAGTGCAACCATTAGCATTTAACCTTAACCCAATGGCAGAATTACTGATGAAAAACAAAAATAGCTTGAATTTATTACTCAATATTAAAATGGGCTGAAAAACACAGATTAAACCTTTTTATTATTATTTTTTTAGTTGACTATAAATTCTCAAGTGTGTATTTTTCTGTATATTTTCTTAAGGGCCTTTTTCTAGTGTAATCACCAATTTAATCCAAATAGAACTAATGGGGATCAAATCCAAGTCCAAATGTGGTGGAATGTCACATTTTAGCGCAACTGTTTGGTATAAGAAGAAAAAAAATATATATTTATATATATACAGCATCCTAATCTAAAACTGGTGTGTATGTTTAATTGCACTTAATGCAAATTAATTGATTTCATTTTGAAGTGAGTATATCTTCACCTGTTTTAGAAATGTATTATATTTTAAACATTTTCTAATTTTATTTTGTAATGTAAAAAAGTGGAAAATTTACTTAACAGATGCAATGCATCCCCCTTTCATATAAATTTGCTACCTTGTTCTGCATATATAAATAATTTATTTATATATATGTATATATATATATATATATATATATATATATATATATATATATATATATATATATATATATATATATATAATTTTTATTTAAATTTAATGCATTTATCTGCAACACTTGTTGCTGTTTGTAGCTTCACTGCACGTGTCTCAGTTTCAGCCGCGGTTCATCTCTGGCTGTAAAACTCAAATTAATGCTTTCGCTGCACAGAATTTCCCAGCTTCCTCCTCGTGCCACCAGCACAGGAAGACACCTGCAGCAGCCTTTTTGTTATGAGTGGAAGTGGTCTCTGTCTGTTTGTGTGGGTGGGAAAGGTGGAGACCATCCAATCCGGCAGCGTGCAGGTGGGCAACCTTAGCTCAGCCGTTCCATCTAACCCCCCACCCACCCCCACCTCTGAGCTCGGCCCATTGTCCCAGTGTGTGGGCCTTTGTGTCGAAGGCCATTGTGAAGGGGCCAGGGCTGGCCACTGTTGTGTCTGGGGCTTCTCTGTTCAAACAAAGGGCCCGTCTACAATCCTCCACCCCGCCCAAACAGCAGACTGCCCGACTGATTGACTGGCTGTCTGACTTCATGACTTGGTGAAAAAGCAAAGGATGGAAATATTGCGTCTGAAATACTTTCACATCACTGTTACCTGCTTGGAATCTCCTTGGAAGGTTATAATCTCCATCTTTAATACAGGCACACCTCAGTGAAATAAAACATCAATAAAATGTTAATTTATTTCCATGATCCAATTTAAAAAATAAATCATATCTGTTGTTTTAATAAATACAGTGATTATGGCTGATTAAAAAATTATACAAGATTAAAAAGGACATTTTAATACAGTAGTTCTGTGTAGTGTACACTTAGTTTTGAATTAATTTCTGCATGATTACAGCGTGGCTTGGAGGCAATAAGCATGCTGCTCAGGGGAGGTGTAAAGGAAGCCCAGGGTGCTTAAATAGTGATAATTTATACCTGAGAATGAACCACAGATTCCTAATTGGGTCTAGGTCTGGTCAAATTGCTGGTCAGTCAGTGATAATATGCCCCATTAGAGCATGTATTGGTATTTTTGACATGGTGGCTGCTGTTAACTCTAACTGAGAAATTAAATTACACATGAAGTTTGGCATCAAATGCAAGTATGAATTCCTCTGAAAATATTTAGACTGAAACACAGTGGACCCCTACTGATGGCATGCATTCATAAAATCACTGACTACAGTCACCTCACAATAGACAATCAGAAACCTGGATTCTGTGCCTCTGACTTCTCCAGATCCTGGAACATTAGTTAAAGAAATAGAACCCATGATCATTGAGCAGCAGTACATTTCCCCTCATATTGTAGATCAAGTCATTTTGCTTTTGTCTGTGCAGGAGTGACATCAAAATCAGGAAAGAAACAGCTTTAGGCCCTGTTTGCCTTTTCATTTTATACTTGTCAATATCTTTTTATTTTTTATCATAACCACTTTTCTTGTAATATGGTTAGATAATGCATTTTATAAACTGCTAGTTTCTTTAGCAATCCAATTTGAATTATGTGATTCATTTTTCCTATAGCAAATCATAACTCTTGTGTATCTCAGTCAAAAGTGATTTGTTTCACTTCCTCTTCAGTTTTTCCTTCCACTCAACTTTATCTTGATGTCTTTTAACATATTTTAAACACAGCTTCTTTAGCCAAGATCTTTTGTGGCTTACCCTCTGTGAAGAGCATTGCTGACTACTGAACTGTCAGAGGTCTCCGTATTATGTACACCACAGCATTTAGCATTCCTGTTTTTAAAAAACAGTCATATAGTGTTTCATTGCTTTGATATTCAAATATTCAGACACAAAATGTTGTGGAAATTAGTTGTTATTCATCTTTACTTAAATTGACAGACATAAATGCCCGAAATATCCCTTAATTAATCTCCTTATCCTCCTTTAACTTAACTTATTTTTTTAAAGTAGCATGATGATAAAACACTTTTTTAAATAAATGTATTAATATGTAGAAAACAATTTAACAGATAAAAGCAAAATAGACCAAAAATAATTTTTTACAAGTATAAATTCCAGGCATAAAATAGCCCATAATTTCGTTTAGGTTACGTCAGTTTTTTTTTTTTTTTTTTTTTTTGCCACAGGCTTTTTTTTCTCTCTCTTTTGCCCAAGTAACACAATTACACGACAGATTCAAGTTAAAAACCTATTATTTCACAAGTTCAACCAGGGCGTTTTCTCATTTCTCTGGGCTAAAGGAAGTCAACCTATAATCTCCTCATATTGCAGGAATAATTACACACATAAAATGTTGCATTGTTTGAGAAAATCTGACCGATGTAGTCATGAATTTTCTGTTACACATTTGATTTAGGCTTTTTTTTTTACACTACTCTGCCTTGTATTTTTCATTTTTTTTTTTTTTACACATTTGCTGTGTTTTGTGGTGTCAGCTTTATATATGTGATCTTTTGCACTCACTTCCATACTTCCACTGCTTTTTGTCTTAAAGGTAAATGACAATAAAATACAACTTTATATGGCTTGGAAATTCAAACATTTTCTTGAAGCTTAGTCCCTTCTGGTGGCTTACTGGGATATTTTTCAGTGAATTCATTGTATACGACTTCCGAAACTAAGCATTTCCCAAAAAGCGGCACACACTGAGACAAAAGCCTTTGCAGCAGTAGAGTTCCTTGAATGTGCTCCTGCAGCCACTCCAAACCAAGCCCCGCTGAATTCTAGGAAATTCCAGTTAGACACTTGGTTAAACTTTTGCAATTTTCCTCTTGTGTGCCAAGATTTCACGCTTCCGTGCTACATCAACACAAGCAGGTTATCTTATTCTGTTAACCACCCTGACACTTAATATAAAGCCACAAGTTCCTCCGCGCATTTCCTGCCAGGCCACCGCAATCAACGTCATCGAGCTGCTCCTCTGGCAACTCAGCCTCTGAATGAAGGGAAAGCCCGCCAGCACCTAACCTCCCTTTCTCTTTCTTCCTCTGCAAGGCAGGCTGAGTAAACTACATTATTTTTTGCATCTGTGTGTGTTTTGACTAGAATCCACCACATTGGGAGGAGTTTGGATTCAGCTCCTGTAGCTAAGAAGTGAGTCGTTTTAGTGCAGGAGCTGCTATTTGCCACGCTGTGGTGTGACTGAGAAACGTGTGTTAGCTGATTCCCGGCAAAGTTCAGGATTGACTGGCAAGCAGAGAGGAAAGGTTAAGAGGTGAGAGATGCTGCAGAGCACTGAATGACAGATGTGCAGATGTGCTTCGGCGGTACGGTTGAGAGGGAAAAGAAAGGCAGGGAAGGAAGGGGTGGGGGTCCAGGGGTAGAGCTCATTAAAGCGGCACACCTGCAGCCTATCAAAGAGCCTTTATCTTCTATCAGTCCAAATCTGCTCAAGCACGCAGCTCAAGACATGCAAAGCTAGCAGGGGCCATGTTGCATGCTCGCTAGGACTCGTTGGGCCTTTATCTCTCCTCCTCCCTCCTTTCTGACCAGCGGTCGGTACCTGGAACAGAAATCCTGTCAGGAATGCTCAGGGATGCGTTCAGATGCATCTGGCTGAGAAACGGGGGCAGAGTTTCTAGTTGGGAACATCTGCACGGTGCGGATACAGAGGCCTTTCTCATGCTCAATTTCACTTTGTTCTCTCCTGGTAAAGTTAATACAAGGATAAATCATCAATTATAGTCTCAAACAGGGAGCAGTATTGATTTAACTGCTGCAGAGAGTAAAGTCAGCCAAAGGGTTTCTGAACACAAAGTAATGCGCCACCAGGATTCTTTATATAATCTCATCATAAATCCATGTGTTCTGTGAAGGCCTCAGAGGTTTGTTTGAAAAACATTAGGTTTGGCTATGAAACAATATGTTGACATTTCACCATCTAATGGAGAACTGTTTGGTCAATCATCTAATAATATAAAGAGTATGGCACAACCATGAATCTACCTATACATGGCTGATCTAAACAGACAAGTC